GTTCTTAAAGGTAAATTGATATGAAATTGTTTTAAAAAAAATCCATAAGCTCTTAAGATAAGAACTTATCAAGTGCTAAGAACTTTATTATTAGTACTTTGTCTGCCTTTTTCTCTCTCTTTTGGATCAGCTATGAACTGTGTTATTATATAATTTTTTTAACAGTAAAAAATTTTGGGAAATAAAGAACATTTTTTTTAATTTCTCATTTAAAATTGAACTTTTAATCAATTAAATTTAAACATTAAAATTTAAAAATAAATTATTAGATCTTAAGATTTAATTATTATGAATTATGTTATTAGTATATCTTTTTTTTGAACAACATGAATCTTTCTTCCCTCATGGAAATTATCGTATATTAGTAATATATTATTTTTTATTAGTTACTTAATATCATAAAAATTTAAATTAATAAACAATAACTTGATTAGTTTTTAAATTTATTATTTAATGATAATATGAACTAGTTTAACTTGAAACCTTACCTTACTACAGCTCATTTATAATAATTCTAGAGCAATTCTTAATATCATATTAGATTTTCTCATCATAAGATAAGAACAATATATGGTAGTTGGTGGTGGGCAGTGGGAAACTACTGGCTACTTTCTAGCTCTTTTAATAACATCATTGCTTCTGATAAATGGTGAAATTAATTTTTGATTATCCATCAAATGTCAAGTCTCCAGTCTCTTAGACTAACAACGACTCAGACTTTAATTGGGACTCAGAAGCGTTTACCCTGCAACCTATCTTTGCGTATGGGGATTTTGTTTGAGGCTTCCACTGCTAAGTTGAAGAAAACAACACCTACCTCTTTGCTATCTCCATCTTCTTTTTTGGAGAATGATATCCAATTCCAAAAATGGTATGGTCTGCTAATCTAAACAATCCGGTTGGACGTACGTGGGGCAAAATTGTAACTTTCCCAACAAGGGGATCTAACGCTGCAAGATGTTGATAACATTTTGGTTTGGTCCACTAAACGAACTTGTAAATCTGGTTTCGGGTTGATGTTAACTAATCAGGGTAACTTTCTACTGTTTAATGGAAACAATGAGATGGTTTGGCAGTCTTTTGATCATCCGATTGACTCTTTAGTGTTAGGATAGATTAGTTTTTGGACAAAAATTAATGACAAATATGTCACCCACAAATTACAGTGAGGCTTTATATTCATTTTCAATTGATAATTATGGTTATTTTGTTGCTTATATGGAATTAGATGCCACCCTCTCTAATTCTCAGTCAAGAAGCCTGAGGGGCCAATTTTATGCTGAATTGGAGTCTAGTGATTTTGGTACTTTCTCCTTTGCAGGAAAAATATTTTTTATTAGAACTATAGTTTTAAAAATTATGCAACAAGTCCCAAAACTTCTATTCTTATGCACTCAAGCCATTTTCTATATAACAAATGAAAATTATGTAAAATCAATAAAAAAAAAATCACATTTTATCTATGCAAATATGAATAAAATCAATACTAAAATAAGAAGTTAAAATATATAAAATATATCTCATTACTTGTCATATAATAAGTGACAAATGTGATTATGACAATTGTTTATTTTGGTAAGATCACTAAAACTTAACAAATTATATTTTTTTTAAATAAATAATTATAATATTTAAAAATATTAATTTATAAATTTATATTAATTTATTAAGTAATAAAAATTTGATATTTTGTCAA